GAGCAAGGCCTTTGCTCAGCCAAGAATTCTGCTGACTTCCATAACAAAGTACTTCTTTTCTCTTTCCTTCCCAATTAGATAGCACAGTCTGGCCATATGGTTATTAGTCAGCTTTGATGCCTCTCTGTTCTTGAAAAAGTTAGGCAACAAAGAGAGCAAAGATTTGATCTGTTATAATAAACAGAAGAGAGGAAAATATATATCCAGAAAACATATCTGGAATGGTGTCTGAACACAGCAACGTCGTTTGTAATCTGGTCATTTATTCTGTGCCAGCAGTTGTGTAGCTGCCCGAGGACTAGGAAAGCAATCAGGGTGTCTCCTGCATGTGCTAGTGCAGGACTTGGAACCGGTGGCTAACGAGAGGTCAAGCTGAAGGTAGGTTTGCTCACAGCACATGGTGTGCAGTTCACTGCATCATCCGTTTAAGAAGTCCCTTGTGTATAATGCTCAGACATGCTGCTATGCAGTACTGCTGTCTAGCTTTTCTCCAAGATCAAAAATCAGGGGAAGGAGAAATAGGAAGTTCATGCACAAAAAGTAATGATTTGGAAAGTTGCTTGGAAAAAATATCGATTATTAATTCTGAGGTCTAAACATATTTTAAAAGCACATTGTACTGCAAATGGCAATATTTGACCAAGAAACAACAGCAAAAGTTCAATCACAAAGGTAATATTTATTTTGTCTCCTTCATCTGAGCACTTCTTCACTGTGAACACTTTTTCACGCTGAGCTAAGCTTAGTCAGACAGCATGGACTTTTGTAGACCTCCAAGAGCTTCTCAGATTATCGTGACTCCCATAGGAGCTGAGTCAGAGAGAGGCATACCCATTAGGGTCTGAAAAGCTAAGCTTAGTCAGACAGCATGGACTGCATACCCATTAGAGTCTGAACGGCTTTAGGCGTGCTCCTGGAGTACACCTTGTGCTTAGTTTCATTCAGTTCATGTGCCCAGTGACCACTTTGCAACAGAAACCATGGCATGGTGAGGAGGGGCAACTGAAGCATTTGCTTCATTGCACACTCCTGATTCCAGCTGAAATGACAATGTAAACCAACCCCAATGCAGTGGGATCTGGGCATCAGCCTTGTCCGAAAATCTGTGTTACAAATAGACCTGCTGAGCACTTTTTGAAGAGACTCGTTTTTGCATGCTTCTATGGGAGCTAGTATCTTAAAAGCCTACCAGTCATGGTCCTCCTAACCTTAGTAACCAAGACCTTCAATTCAGCAAAACATGTAAGCGAGTCATTAAAGATAAGTGTGTACTTAAGTTCAAGAGGGAAATCAGGGGATCATTTATCTTGAAGTTCTGTGGTGAAAGCATAAGAAATCAAACTTGCTTTACAAAGCAGTTATTTCTGGAGTGGTCATGTTAAAAAAGTATATGCATTCATTTAACAGATTTATTATACAGATTAATCTTCCTCATAAAAGTTGGCAAATGGGTCATTGCTTAACTGCTGTATTTCATATACTTAGGAACCTGAGGAGAATGAACCAGGACTCAGACAATTTGGGTTTTGTTCCTAGTGTTGCCCTTAACTTGCTAGGTGACATTAATTAAGTAAATTCACCTCTCTCTGACTCAGCTCCTATGGGAGTCACGATAATCTGAGAAGCTCTTGGAGGTCTACAAAAATCCGCACAAGGCTTAGGGTACTGTTATCTATAATATTATTTTTTTTCCTAGTGTCATACAGAACCCACCAGTTCTCCTGTAACAGATAACTGTTTTTCCTCACAAAAACAGACCACATCCTCTTCTCCTTGCCCACAGGAACATCCATCTGAAGGCAGAGCTAGTGGGGATTGCGTATTATAATCTTGCAGCTCTTACCCAGCAGTATTCCTGAGATCAGTGGAGCTGGATGTGTTTTTCCCTGACTTAAAAGCTACCACATGAAGGCGTATGTGCATACGGATATTGAGAAGTGTTTTGCGCAGACCCCAAAGAAGAATATCAATTTTCATAAGTCTCAAAAGACAAAGTCTTACTTTTGAGAATGAGAGCATTGACTTCAGCAGATCAGTTGCTTGAATGATATGGATGTGTTTGAGTGCATGCGTGAATGTGCACGTGGGAGTCTGCATGTGTGTGTGTGCCCAGATTGAAGAGCACTGCATGTGCCCTTACACACCTGCACTTTGCGCATACACACAAACAGCGTCTGAGAGTAATGAGTTTTCATCCAATAGTTAGGTACATTTAGCCTCATTTTGGCACCAAAATAAATCATTTATCTTTGAAGTACAAATGATTCCAGGTACACATTCATTACAAGAATAAAATAGTTGTCCAGACTCCCTCTTCTAGTTTACAGCCTGCAGAGAGGAAACTGAAAAGTTATGTTACATCTGCACATCTTTACTGTAGCAGAATTACCATATCTGGTGCTTTGGCTATTTATCACTTCCAGATTTTTGCATGCCATTGATCTTCTGGGAAGGGCTCATATAACACTAAAATTAGCTCTGGGGTTGGATTTAAAATAAGTGGATAACGTAGCATTCATACTGATAGCAAACTGTGTCTGCATTTACAGACTTTGATCAGCAAATTACAAAACTCCTGTCTACTCAGAGCACATTTTCCCCCAAATTCCCAAATCCCTTGTAGGTTTGAGTAAGCAATGGGGAACTTAATTGCCTACTAACAAATTGATTACTAATGAATTTAGCAGGGGGGTTGGACTAGAGATGCCTTCCAACCTGAACCATTCTGTGATTTCCACAACTGTGATTCTGTGATTTGTGTCTAATGGAGACAGTGATATATTAGTTGCCAAATTAACCTCCTCCCCCAGCAAAAAAAAAAAAAAAAAAAAAAAAAGTATTTGTACACCAGTTTAAGGTTTGGATTAAGGTTTATAAAAAAACGGGAGGGTGGTTGAGAAATATTTTCTGGCTGCTAATTATGAAGCTCTGGCAAGTTTTTGCCATTAAAAACAAAGAATCTAGGAGGAAAATAATAATAACAAGCAATTTATTGGTTTTCACTGCTTATTAGCCTGTAAGGAGCCTGTTCCTCGCTTGCCTGGGCCGGAGGAGCGCCGTGCCGCTTCGCGCACCAGCGCGCGGTGGTCACGCGA